CTAGAAAACGACAGACTTATCTCGCGATGTAGCCGCTTTCAATTCTCGGACGCTTTCCGCACACTGCATCCAAAGCTGAAGGAATTTACCTTCTACTCCGCCTCCAAAGAGTCTAGCTCCAGGATAGATCGCGCGCTCGTCTCTTGCTCCTTACTTCCGCACCTGGAGATAGCCGCACATACCATGCCAGAGGAGTACATCTCAGATCACGGTTTCGCTATTAAAGTTGCTTTCAAGGTAAAGGCCACTTCTCACCTGGGCCCCGGAATCTGGAGACTGCATGCTGCAGCCATCGGCAGGCCAGGGGTCAGGAAAGCGGTGGAAGCTGCGCTTGCCAAGGCAGAGGCAAGTGGCGAGGAGGATTTTGAGCTATTGCTGGGCAGACTTAACGCGGGCCTGCGGTCGTATATGAAGGAGGAGAGGAAAAGGGTCAAAAAGACCACGGCGCATCTGGCAGACGTGGTGGCGGAGCTTCGGCAAGAGCAAATGCGGAACCCAAGCTGCCAGCGCGCTAGGGATCTACTGTTGGTCAGGGAGACGCAGCTGCGGGAATACCATGCGGCGAAGCGGGACAGACTTCATCTGATGGCGGGTACGAACATTGAACTGGCGGGAGAGGTGCCGTCCCCTTTCCTGTCAGCGAGGGTAAAGGTCAGAAAGCAGCGCACACAGATTGCAGAGCTGTCAGTAGGCGGTGTGACGGTGACAGATTCCAAAGAAATTCTGGCGGCGGCCACCAACTATTTCACAGACCCTTTTTGGATCGGACAGTCGCTCGACGACGGCCATTTGGAAACTATTGCCGGGGAAGAAGCTGGGCTCTGACGCAGCGGCGGCACTGGAGGCGGACTGGTCGGAGCAGGAGGTGAAACAAGCTTTCAAAGCCTTGGCAAACAACAAATCGCCCGGGAGAGACGGTCTTCCGAAAGAGCTCTTCGAGCAGAACTGGGATGTCTTGGGGGGAGAGTTCCTGAAGATGGCGAAAAGTTTCTCAGAATCGGCCTCGCTCCCTGCAAGCGTCAAGGAAGCGGTTACCATCTTGCTTTATAAAAAAGGAGACAAAGACAAGCTGGACAACTATCGCCCCATCACCTTACTCAACTTCACCTACAAGGTTTTGGCGAGAGTTGTGGCGAACAGGATGAAGCAGTGGCTCCACTTAGTGATATCGGAGGAGCAGTACGGATTTATACCTGGGAGGAGGATCTCTGACGCGATTGGCGTGGTGGCTGACGTTGTTGAAGCAGCAAAAAAGGGGAACGAAGATTGGTACATGCTCCTGGTGGACTTCCGTAAGGCTTTTGACTCGGTGTCCCGGAGTTTCCTCTTTACGATCCTGAGAGATATGGGTTTCCCGGAGAGATTCGTAGGCTGGGTGGAAGGCCTGCACAGAGATACAAGGACAAGGTTACTAGTCAATGGCTGGCTGGGAGAGGCGGTGGAAGTAAAATCAGGGGTGAGGCAGGGGTGTCCGCTTGCTCCATACCTCTTCCTCTGCGCGGTGGAGCCGCTTGCGCAAGAAGCGTGTAGGCGGAAGCTGGGCCTCTGCAACAAAGCTGGACAGCGGTTAGTTTACCTGGGTTACGCGGATGACACAACACTGTTTGTGGAGGGAAAACGCCAGATCGCCAGGGCAGGAAAACTACTTAAGCAATTTGCAGAGATGTCAGGTCTGGTCACCAACAGGGAAAAATCGGTTGTCATGCCGCTGGGGCATAATCTTGGAAGGAGACCTGGGACTTTGGGGGGCTTCAAATGGGCAAAGGCAGATGAAGCTGAACGCCTTCTGGGGGTCTGGATCACCCCCTCCGGTAGCAGCGAACCGACATGGTTAAGGGCTTTCGAGAAAATTACAGTGGAGCTGATCAAGTGGAAAGCGCTTTTCCTTACGATTGCGGCAAGGGTGGTGATCATAAACTGCTACATCACGCCTAAGGTAGCTTACCAGGCTCAAGTTTACCCCCCACCGGAAGAAGTCTGGAAGAAGCTGATGAAGTTAATTCATAACTTTCTGTCGGGGAATAACGCGTCGGCGGATGGAGGTTTTGTGCTGTGGAGCTGGGATCTCCTCTCTACTCCGCGAGGTGATGGGGGGCTCGGAGTACTGGACCCGGAGGTCCTCATGGCTTGTCTTGCGGCCAGGAGAATCGCTGGACTCCTGTCGGAGGGGAACGGCAAGAAAAAAGAAATCATGCTTAAAGCGGCGGGGCTCCCGATGGGAGAAGACACTTTCACGGCGCACGAAAAGGTGTTGAAGCACTGGCCGGGACACGGGGAGCGGTGGAAGCAGACCTGCGAAACTTTCCTGAAATCGCCTCTCGCTGACACAGGGAAAGTCAGTAGCAAGGAGGAGGTGGCGCTGGAAAGAATTATTTTCAACAGGAACGTGCTGCTGAACGGCACTAACCCAGTGGGCGGGCAGAAGGAGGCGAAAGGGCTCTGGGATACTCGCATGGGGGACCTGGTAACCACATCGCCCTCAGGCGAAGCAGCAGTTAAGGACATGGATGTCTTGGAAAAAGAGTTGAGGGGCAAGGACTCTGCTCGGCTGGCTCTCAAAGCCTTTGCTGCAGCCCCGGAGGAGTGGAAAACCCTGCTGATCCCCAACGGCACGGCTGGAGGAGGAGGGGAGAAAGAAGCGGTTACAGCGGTGACAGCAGGGGGGTGTCGCGAGGCCACGGCTTCAATTTTCCGGTCAGCAATTTTTTACGGAGAGCGAGCAGCTTCTCTGAAGCGGATGAGGGAGGTGTGGACCAAACCCGATGCAGTCCTAACGAAGCAGGCAAAGTGGTCTGGTCGATGGTGCGGCAAGATTGACTGGCAGCGAATCATTCGCACACGCAACTCGCTGGCCATCCCGAGCCGACCGAGAGATGTCCTCACACGGGTGCATAACCTGAACCTTCAGGTCGGGGAGCGAGTTGATTTTCTCAGCTGCAAGCCAAAATGCCCATACTGCGGAGTGGAGGAAACGCACGAACACTGTCTTTTCTCCTGCCCGAGAATTCAGCCAGTTGTCTCAGGGCTCCGTCGTGCTCTGCGCATGCTCAATCCAGGGAGGACAACTGCCTCGCTGGGGGACCTCTTGTTCCAGGAAACCGGAACGGCGTCGGATTTCCCGGAGGCTACCCTCACATCGATTACTTTTCATCAGCTGTGGGTGGAGAGATGTGAAGCAACTTTCCGAGGGCAGAAATTCAGAGCCCGGAGGGTTCTCAGGAGGATTGGGTCGGCTTTTAGGCTACACGCGAGAGTGTACACGAGAGCAATGGGTGCCAAAAGCTTGCGGCCAGGGACATCAGGGAAGGGAAAACGGGTCAGGAGTGTTTTCGAAGCGGAGCAAAAAATGCTGGCGAGGATAAGGGAGACAGGTGACAAAAAATGGAAGTGGTCGACAAACTTCGCTGCTATCTGGAACAAGCCAAAGCGGGCGTTCCTGCCGCCCTAGATGCATTACTGGGCAGTGCATGGTGCAGTGCCCTCACGCTCAGTTACGACTGCTTTCGATGTATGCATTGTCCTCATAAATGTATATGTCAAAAAAAAAAAAAAAAAAAAATCTGCAACAAGTCCCACCTTCCCATCCCACTCAACGGCAAATTTCCTCCAGCATGAACCACTGAAATCAACAAGCCACAAACTCGTGTTGATGGTCTCCCGTGTTTCATGCAGTGTTGTGAATAGGAGTGTTCAGTGGAAGGAAAGGAGAATAGGCGTAACCCACAAAGCACAATGCTTGCCACAGCACACTTTCCAATGCATAAAAATGAAGATTAACAAGTGAATGCTACAGTACTCAAGCCAAGCTGAATATGAGCACGGCAGAGAGAATGTACAAAAATAACATGACAGGGAGCGTAATGCTATCAATCCGACTGGCGAGCCGATACGCAGCTGCTGCATTCTTTCCCAAGTATTGCTTGTGTGACCTGATGCTTTTTACTGAGCTGGTGACGGCACGACGGAGAGAAGGAGCTGCTTTCAGCAATGGCTGAGCAAAACGGAACGAGGAGAAGGACGAGGAGAGGGACAGGGAAAACTGGCGGAAACTGCTCCCACTGCTGCTGCTGGCGTTGACGTTGTTGCCTGTGCCGCCGCCACTGTTTGTGTTATTGTCTACCTTGCAGTTAGTGGGATTGTGTTGCAGGTGGTGGTTGTTTGGGGCTGGAAGTGAGAGTGGTGAAGGCCGGCGCAATGGCTGGTTCACCTGGCGAAGGGGTAAGATACGGGCAGGACAGACATGAAGAGGAGGAAGAATCATTCACAAATTATGAATGTGTGAATCATTTGTCTGATTTGGGAAAGAGGAGGATGAAAGAAATGGAGATAAGCAAGAACAAAGGATATCAGATAATCAAACTGGGTGTTCAAATCAACGCAAGGGCATACCATCTCAATGCCCTGCTGGGCACCAGGAGCCCCAGCTACAGCCATCGCCCCAGCTGCAGTCCCAGCTCCAGCTCCAGCCCCAGCTACTCCTGCTCCAGTATAAAAGTCCCTGGCCGTGGTAACACCCGCGCTGGCACCACCGCCACCTCCCACCCTCCCATCCACCCCTACTTCACCATCATCCTCCGCTCCCTCTCTCCGCATCGACCCGCACGCAGACCCGACTGTCCAGAGTGCCGCTGCCTTGCTGGCAGCGCGTGCTCTCGCACCCTCATCTACCAGCTGAGCCATTGGATCCTCTCCGTCAATGCCGTCCTCGCTGTCGCCGTCTGATTCGTTCCCGCTGCTGCAGTTGCTGCCGCAGTTGTTGCTGCAGCCGTTGTGGGCAGTGCCGTTTCCTGCGGTGGTAGCGCGCGGTTCTGTATGGAAGTAATCTGCTGGAGGGGCAGATGGCGTGTGGGAAGAAATGGCCGCAGCGAGAGCAGCAGAGGAAGCAAGAGTGGGACCACTCTGCACAGCGCCCACACCACCAGCAGCAGCAGTAGCAGCAGGAGTAGGAGCATCAGAAAGACAGCATTCGCATCTGTCGTCCATCCCAGAGGCGGCAGGATCTAGGAGACCAAGGGAGGAGGAAGCTCGGCTTTGGGTAGACGGTGTGTTACAGCAGCCACCGCCACAGCACAGCGACACACCCAGAGAGGCACCACCAGCAGCAGCAGCACCGGCAGACTTGCGGTTAGAGTGGTGCGGGGCGAAGCGGGACGAGGAGATGGCAGAGGAGCAGGCGGAGGAGGAGGTTCGGGCGGCGCGGAGAGAGCGCGACGAGGAGGAGGCTCGGGGACCGGAGCGGTGGTGCGGATGGGAGAAACCATAGCTGAAATCACTCAACCGCTGACTGCTGCTGCTGCTGCCACCATACTTCTGGTAACCATTAGCCTCATCATCATCGTAACCATAGCAATCACCGTCGTCGTCGTTACCATAGGCCCTGCGCTTGTTGTGCCTGCAGCTGCGCCGGCCCAGAGACCCACCACCCCTTGTACCAGCCTCGGTGTCGTCATCGTCTTCGTCGTCGTCAGCGTTGCCGTGCGCATGAGGCAGCTTGCCCTGCAGGAAACGAACCTCTTCCTGATGGGGTGGATGGGAGGGAGACGGGAGGGGGAGATAAGAGTATGTGTGTTTTGGTCGACTGAACAGTAGCGTTGTTAGCATTGTCGTGTGCATGAGGCAGCTTCACTGGAAGAAACAAGGTTTCTTTCTGATGGAGTAGATTGGAGTGAAAGATGGAAAGGGGGGATCGGGGGAGAGGTGGGAGGAGTTGTGAGGGCAATAAAAGAGGAGCAGAAGTTGTGTGCAAGGCGTGACGAGAATGCTCAGGGTGTAGAGGGAAACAAGTGTAGGTAAGACTTGGGATGGCCAGTGAAGGCATGGCATGGCATCAGATGGGATGGCGTGGCATGGCATGATATGGAGTGGCCCGGTATGGCAAGGAGCGGGAGGGTAGTAGGTACCATGGAGGTGAGGTAGGTACCATGGAGGTGAGGTAGGTACCATGGAGGTGAGGTAGGTACCATGGAGGTGAGGTAGGTACCATGGAGGTGAGGTAGGTACCATGGAGGTGAGGTAGGTACCATGGAGGTGAGGTAGGTACCATGGAGGTGAGGTAGGTACCATGGAGGTGAGGTAGGTACCATGGAGGTGAGGTAGGTACCATGGAGGTGAGGTAGGTACCATGGAGGTGAGGTAGGTACCATGGAGGTGAGGTAGGTACCATGGAGGTGAGGTAGGTACCATGGAGGTGAGGTAGGTACCATGGAGGTGAGGTAGGTACCATGGAGGTGAGGTAGAAGACGAAGAGACACTCGAGGATGACAAGCACGATGGTTGCATAAGACACCAGCACTAGCTGCCCGAATGCCGTCACGTACGACGTCTTGGGTAGCTGCAAGTGGGGCATGCATGGGACACGTGGGACACGTTTAAACACCACGGCACAGATGTAGCAAGTGGGGTGGAAGGGGGAGAGAAGGGTTGGAGAAACGGGCAAAGGGATTTACATGGTGACTTGTGAGTCGGCTCAAAAGTAACTTGGTTGGAGAAACGGGCAAAGAGATTTACAAAGAGGGAGAAGGGCTTACAAAGGGAGGACATGAGAGGGGGGGGGTAGAACTGTGGAAGCAAGAGAGGGGAAGTGTGGCGTGGGAGTGAGATGGTTCGACCAGTTAAAAAACAAACAGAAAGATTCTCCGGTTCCCCCAAATATCTCCCCAAGCAGAGATTAAAGCCAAGTAGAGCTGTGGAGAGCTGTGCAGGGCTGTGGGGAGCTGTGATGAGCTCAGCGCATGGCTGTCTGGCACACTCCTCCCCATCCACCCACCCACCCACCCACCCACGACGCGCCCACCTGCTCCTCGATGACAAACTGCGCGGCGATGAGCGCGAGGAAGAGCGTGACTGCTGCAAGGAGACATAGAGGCCTAGCCAAGTAACTAACTGAGCCACGCCACGCCCCCTTCCCACCCCCTGCCCACCCCCTACCCACCCCCTGCCCACCCCCTACCCACCCCCTGCCCACCCCCTACCCACCCCCTTCCCTCCGCCCACCTGCTCCTCGATGACGAACTGCACGGCGATGAGCGCGAGGAAGAGCGTGACTGTGGTGCTGACTCGGATGTCCAGCTGCGTGGGCGTGGCGAAGAACACCGCAAACGCCAGACACACCGTTATCATCGTCGGGAAGATGATCTGATTGGGGGGAAAGGGGATGGGGGGAAGGGGGAAGGAAGGGGGAAGGTGGGAACGGAGGAAGGGGGGATTGCGAAAGTGGGGAACGGGGAGGGGGCGAAGAGGCAAGGGGGCGACGGGGGGGTCAAGCAGACAGTCACACATCATTGCCCCACGCACCCCTTCGACAATCCTGAAGCTTTACGTATTATGCCAAGCACACATGCACCACCCACCCACGCACCCACGCACCCACCCACGCACCCACGCACCCACCCATGCACCCACGCACCCACGCACCCATGCACCCACGCACCCATGCACCCACGCACCCATGCACCCACGCACCCATGCACCCACGCACCCATGCACCCACGCACCCATGCACCCACGCACCCATGCACCCTCATCCATCATCATTCATACCCACCCTCTCACCCTCCCACACACGCACCGTCCAGAGGTAGTAGTAACTGTATCGCTCCACATGAATCGTGAGCGTGCATGTCGACGCATACATGCCGCCCACGCCCATGCCCATCTCAGGGGCAAGAGCTCCCACCCCGCCCCCCACCTCCGCTCCCCACACGCCCGGAGCAGCTGTAGAGGCGAAGGGGGAGTCCGCTGCCGGGCCCCCCACGAGCGCCTGGTCTTCCTGCTGTCCCCCCTGCTGCCCCTGATCCTGCCCCCCTGGCTGCTGCCCGCCTATCTTGGGTGCTCCTCCTCCTCCTCCCCCTTTGGCTGACCTTGCTGCATCCACTATGGTGTTCACAGGGTCGACTGCGCATTCGGGGGGATGGGTAAGGAAGGGGAGGGGAGGGGGAGGGGAGGGGAGGGGAGGGGAGGGGAGGGGAGGGGAGGGGAGGGGGAGGACGGGTTTAGAGGGGAAGAGACGGGGAACTGTTTTCGAGGTGCCTCATTAACTTCTGCAGTGGTGCCTTCGTTGCTCCCCCTTTGGCTGACCTTGCTGGGTCATTTATGCTGTTCACAGGGTCGACTGCGCATTGGGAGAGGAGGAGATGGGCGGAAGAGAGTGAGGGGAGAAACAGGAGAGTTGCAGTTCAGGAGGGAAGGGAAAGGGGAAGATGGACACGTGGATTGAAGGAGCTCGGAGGCACGGCGCAGAGATGAGTGGAGGTGGGGTGGGTGGGGACAGGCAGGCAGCGGGAGTGGGCGAGGCACTTTGGGAGAGGCACTTCGGGAGAGGCAATTTGGGGCGAGGCAATTTGGGGGCGAGGCATGGAGCATGGTGGGAGTGAGTGAGAGCACGCACATGGGTTGAAGTTCTGCAGATGGCTGGATATATCCGCACCACCACCACCACCACCACCACCACCACTGCTCCATCCACCACCACTGCCACCACCATCCCCACCGTCGCCACCGCCAATGCCATTGCTGTCGATACTAGCACGGCCAGCAGCAGCAGCAGCAGCGGCAGCGGCCGCAGAAGCAGCAGCAGTGGCAGCAGCAGTGGCGGCAGCAGCAGCAGCAGCAGCAGCAGAAGCGCTCGTCTTTGCTGCGGCCGCAGCAGAGCCACTAGCAACACCCGCCCCTCCATCACCGCTGGTGCTGGCAGCAGCATCACCACTGTTACTACCACTGCCGCTGCTGCTGCTTCCACTGCCACTGCCGCTGCCGCTGCCGCTGCCGCTGCCGCTGCCGCTGCTATTGCTGCTGCTGCGGGTCTTATTCAGAACCCCGTCGCCCGTGCAGCTGAGCTCGACCTTGGTGGTATACCACCCGGTGACCTCGTCTGTGGTGTACGCGCCAGGCCCGCCGTCGCCCCCTGTGGCAACCATGGCTAGCGCGCTGGCGCCCTCACGAGCTACTAGCGAGGAGACCAGGTAGTAGCAGGAGCGCGCTGCTTGTGGTGAGTCCAAGGCTGCTGGCGACACTGTGAGCGTGAGCGACTGGGGGGGAGTGGAGGGGGGGGGGGGGGAAGGGAGGGAGGGATGGATAGGGAGGGTTCAGGCAGCAGAAGAAACGAGCTCAGCGGTGCAGAGAGAAGTGAGATGGTGGGCGAGCGCAGGGGAAGAGCGAGGGGAGAGAGGAGGAGGAGGAGGAGGAGGAGGAGGAGGAGGAGGAGGAGGAGGAGGAGGAGGAGGAGGAGGAGGAGGAGGAGTAGGAGGAGGAGGAGGAGGAGGGGGATGGGGGGGTGGCAGTGGCGCTGGCGCCTGAAGAATTTGTGTCCCTTGCTGCAGGGGTGAGTGAGAGGGTGAGCGGGTGGTTAAGGGAGAGCAGGGAGGGGAAGGGGGAGACCTTATGAGACGTACCAACCGTGGACATGGAATAAGACGGAACGGATGAGTGAAAGGAGGAAAAGAAAACGATGGGGAAAGAAACGTTGTGTTGGGGTTGCGGGTGGAGGACAAGTGGGCTGCTGCTGCTGCTGCTGCTGCTGCTGCTGCTGCTGCTGGTGCTGCTGGTGGTGGTGGTGCTTGCCTGCTTGTCAAAGGGGAAGCGCTTGAAGTTGAATGCCGTTGAGAACGTGCCTGTGCGAGGGGGACGACGAGGGGAGAGGAGTGGAACAGCAGGAGGAACGCAAAGGGGAGAGGAAGCGAAGTGAGGTGGAGTGGTGAGGTAAAGGAGTGGGGCGAGAGCGGCAAGGCGGAGGGAGAGAGAAATAGGGAGGCAGGAGGGGCGGTGGGGATGGGGATGTTGCACACATAGGCACACGCAGGACACTGCATATGGAGACGCTACGCTTAGGGGAGAGAGAAGAGAGAGAAGAGAGAGAAGAGAGAGAAGAGAGAGGAGAGAGAAGAGAGAAGAGAGAGAAGAGAGAAGAGAGAGAAGAGAGAAGAGAGCGAAGAGAGAAGAGAGAGAAGAGAGAAGAGAGAGAAGAGAGAAGAGAGAGAAGAGAGAAGAGAGAGAAGAGAGAAGAGAGAGAAGAGAGAAGAGAGAAGAGAGAAGAGAGAAGAGAGAAGAGAGAAGAGAGAAGAGAGAAGAGAGAAGAGAGAAGAGAGAAGAGAGAAGAGAGAAGAGAGAAGAGAGAAGAGAGAAGAGAGAAGAGAGAAGAGAGAAGAGAGAAGAGAGAAGAGAGAAGAGAGAAGAGAGAAGAGAGAAGAGAGAAGAGAGAAGAGAGAAGAGAGAAGAGAGAAGAGAGAAGAGAGAAGAGAGAAGAGAGAAGAGAGAAGAGAGAAGAGAGAAGAGAGAGAGAAGAGAGAAGAGAGCAGAGAGCAGAGAGAAGAGAGAAGAGAGAAGAGAAGAGAGAAGAGAGAAGAGAGAAGAGAGAAGAGAGAAGAGAGAAGAGAGAAGAGAGAAGAGAGAAGAGAGAAGAGAGAAGAGAGAAGAGAGAAGAGAGAAGAGAGAAGAGAGAAGAGAGCAGAGAGAAGAGAGAAGAGAGAAGAGAGAAGAGAGCAGAGAGAAGAGAGAAGAGAGAAGAGAGCAGAGAGAAGAGAGCAGAGAGAAGAGAGAAGAGAGAAGAGAGAAGAGAGAAGAGAGAAGAGAGCAGAGAGCAGAGAGCAGAGAGAAGAGAGAAGAGAGAAGAGAGAAGAGAGAAGAGAGAAGAGAGAAGAGAGAAGAGAGAAGAGAGAAGAGAGAAGAGAGCAGAGAGAAGAGAGAAGAGAGAAGAGAGAAGAGAGAAGAGAGAAGAGAGAAGAGAGAAGAGAGAGAGAGAAGAGAGAAGAGAGAAGAGAGCAGAGAGAAGAGAGAAGAGAGAAGAGAGAAGAGAGAAGAGAGAAGAGAGAAGAGAGAAGAGAGAAGAGAGAAGAGAGAAGAGAGAAGAGAGAAGAGAGAAGAGAGAAGAGAGAAGAGAGAAGAGAGAAGAGAGAAGAGAGAAGAGAGAAGAGAGAAGAGAGAAGAGAGAAGAGAGAAGAGAGAAGAGAGAAGAGAGAAGAGAGAAGAGAGAAGAGAGAAGAGAGAAGAGAGAAGAGAGAGAAGAGAGAAGAGAGAGAAGAGAGAGAAGAGAGAAGAGAGAAGAGAGAAGAGAGAAGAGAGAAGAGAGAAAGAGAGAAGAGAGAAGAGAGAAGAGAGAAGAGAGAAGAGAGAAGAGAGAAGAGAGAAGAGAGAAGAGAGAAGAGAGAAGAGAGAAGAGAGAGAAGAGAGAAGAGAGAAGAGAGAAGAGAGAAGAGAGAAGAGAGAAGAGAGAAGAGAGAAGAGAGAAGAGAGAAGAGAGAAGAGAGAAGAGAGAAGAGAGAAGAGAGAAGAGAGAAGAGAGAAGAGAGAAGAGAGAAGAGAGAAGAGAGAAGAGAGAAGAGAGAAGAGAGAAGAGAGAAGAGAGAAGAGAGAAGAGAGAAGAGAGAAGAGAGCAGAGAGAAGAGAGAAGAGAGAAGAGAGAAGAGAGCAGAGAGAAGAGAGAAGAGAGCAGAGAGAAGAGAGCAGAGAGAAGAGAGAAGAGAGAAGAGAGAAGAGAGAAGAGAGCAGAGAGCAGAGAGAAGAGAGAAGAGAGAAGAGAGAAGAGAGAAGAGAGAAGAGAGAAGAGAGAAGAGAGAAGAGAGAAGAGAGAAGAGAGAAGAGAGAAGAGAGAAGAGAGAAGAGAGAAGAGAGAAGAGAGAAGAGAGAAGAGAGAAGAGAGAAGAGAGAAGAGAGAAGAGAGCAGAGAGCAGAGAGCAGAGAGCAGAGAGCAGAGAGCAGAGAGCAGAGAGCAGAGAGCAGAGAGCAGAGAGCAGAGAGCAGAGAGCAGAGAGCAGAGAGCAGAGAGCAGAGAGCAGAGAGCATGCATTGTTCTGAGATGGGGTGCCCCGCCTGCCTGCTGTGGCAACACCTGAAGCGTCTCAAGCCCACTGATTGCTCTCACAGCCTTGCAAAATGTCATCTGTGATGTATACCCACCTCCCCCTGTGCCACTGCTGTGCCGTTGCTGTGGCAGGGCTGTGCCGTTGCTGTGGCAGGGCTGTGCCGTTGCTGTGGCAGGGCTGTGCCGTTGCTGTGGAAGGGCTGTGTTCTCTGAGTGCCTGCATGCGCACTCACCCTGCAGGCGGACCTGGCGGCCCATGGCGGTGGGACTCGTGAGCGGTGCGAACTGCTGAATCTCGTCTGCATGGGCCCATGGGGGCATGAGCGCATGGGAACATGGGCGCATGGGGGCATGGGTGCGTGGGGCATGGGCGCATGGGCGCATGGGGCAATGATGCGGAGAAGCAATGGAGAGTGAGCGAGAGAGACGGAAGCTAAACACGAAGGCTAGAACGAGAATGGAAGGGGTAGGGAAATGCGAGGTGGAGGTTGGGGCTGGAAGCAAGGCAGCAACATCTGTTGCTCGCACACGGGCTGCACAGTTTAGTGTGTCTGGGGGTGTCAAGAGAGGACAGGTGGGCTGCAAAGGCCTTACTTCCGCCAATCTCATGTCTGGGGGTGTGAGAGTGTGCCTGTGCATGTGCATGCATGCGAGCATGTGCATGTGCATGGGAGCGCACCGGTGATGTAGCGGTCCTGCGAGTACGCGTTGACGTTGGGCACGTGGAAGGACGGCAGCCACACGGCATCGCAGCACAGCTCCGACCCCGGCGCACACCGCTTGCTGCAGGGGGGCGCCACGGGCTGAGACACATGCACACACACACACACACACACACACACACACACACACACACACGCGCGCGCGCGCGCGCGCACGAGCACGCACGCACGCACACCAAAGGCGGGTGGGAAGAAGAACCAACTTGACAGGCTTGTGCTACACAAGCTGCACGCACACGTTGCCTTGCCACCACCACAGCAGGCACCTGCTTGGTGCTCTGACTCCGACGCACACCTCTGCACGGCACGGCGCTGCCACTGGCTGGGTGGGACACGCGAGCTAGGGGGGAGGGGGCACCAAGGGGGAGGCAGGAGCCGGGAGGGTGGGAACCAGGAGTGTAGGACCCAGGAGGGTAGGACTCAGGGTGTGGACAGGGGCGACGGGAGGGATGATGGGGAGGGGGAGTGAGGAAGGAGGAAAGGCAAGGGAAGGAGTGACGGAGAAAAGGTGACCGCAGAGGGTGGTGAGAGTAGGGGGGGGTGCAGGAGAAACGGAGGGTGGTTGGGGGGGAAGTGGAGCAAGTGAGTAAAGGTAAGCGGGTTAAGGAAGGCGGGCGTGACATGAGGAGGGAGAGAGGGTAGGCCGGGGCGGGGCGGGGCGGGGCGGGGCGGGGCGGGGCGGGGCGGGGCGGGGCGGGGAGTACCTTAGTGATGGCGCTTTCACACAGCTCAGCGACAGCAGAGGCGTTCAGGTCGTGGGGGGGACCGCCGCCGGGACCGCCAGGACCACCAGGAGCACCGGGACCGCCAGGAGCACCGGGACCGCCAGGAGCACCGGGAGCACCAGGAGCACCAGGAGCTTTCAGAGGCGGGCCGCTGCCGTTACCAGCGCCTGTTGTGCCGTTGGCAGCACCAGCACCAGGACCTGCTGCAGGTGCTGGTGCAGATGCCACAGCCAAAATTCGGGAAACACGGTCAGCGCTGCTGCTGCTGGTAGCGGTGGTGGCATTGCCAGGGCTGCTACTATTGATGGCGCTGCTGTTAGAGGTACTGTTGGTACTGCCAGCAGCAGCAGCACTGGGAGCAGCACCGGGCGCAGGGCTAGACCCGTCCGCCGACGGTGCTCCCGTCGCATTTCCCCCTTGCGGAACCCCCTTCCGCTGCGCCCCCGGCGCCCCCAGCGTCCCTGGTGCCCCCTGCGACCCCGGCGCTTGCTCCCCTGCTGCGCCGTTCTGCTCCCCCCACGCGTCTGCGCCCATGTTCCCCACGAGGCGGTCGGAAAGCCGCGCGCACTCCGCCACGCGGTGCTGCTGCTCCGCCAGGCGCGCGTCCCGCACTCCGCGGATGGCGCGCCATACGAGCGGCGCTGCAGGGGGGAAAGCGGGGAGGGGGATGGGGTGGGGGGGGGGGGGGGGGGGGGAAACGGAGAGGGGGCCGGGGGTGGAGGAGAGTACGGGCACTGAGAAGATCTGCATGTGAGGGTGGGAAGGGAAAAGAGCGAGAAGGAAGATCGGAAGGTGAAAGGGACGGGGACTAAGGGCATGGGCGTGAAGCGATGGGCATGGGCATGGGCATGGAAGTGTGAGAAGGAACGGCATGATGACCGACCTCGCGAGTCGACCCAGGACATCATGAGCAGCACCACGGCGTCTTGGGATGGCCATGGGCATAAACACGGGCACGGGCACGGGCACGGGCACGGGCACGGGCACGGGCTGGGATGGAGAGACTGACCTCGCGAGTCGACCCAGGACATCATGAGCAGCACCACGGCGTCGAAGCTGTAGCTCTTCTCTGCCGCCCGCCGCACCACGGACACGGGGAGAAACGAAGAAGGCATGCGCCACGCGGGGACGACCGGGGGAAGGCCGGGGAGACACGGGGGGGAAGGTGGAACAACGTTTAGAGGCGGGGAGCGGGGAAGGAGTGGAAAAGCTAGGAGGGGGAGCATATAGCGGAAGGAACAAAGAGCGCACCGTCGACTTTGAGCAGCTTGTGCAGCACGGCGCTCATGAACACGGGCGTGCAGTTGCGCGCCGCGCCCGCCGCCACGGGATCCACGCCCTGCCCCAGCAGCGGCGAGTCCTGCTGCGCGCGCGCCACCAGCACGCGCGACGCGCCACGTGACCATGGCGACGGCGATAGCGACGGAATTTGGAATGGCGATGGTGGCTGTGACGGGGGGGGGAGAGAGGGAGTGTCGCAGAGGAGTAGGAGAAGGAGGAGGAGGGGGAGGCGAGAAAGGGGGAAGTGCGCGGGGTGGTGCTCGCCGCGGCGACATGCTCTGCCGTGTGCGGTTGGGCGCTGGCTCACCGTGGCGGTGGTTTGCGACGAGGGCGCGTGCGACAATGAGGTGTGCGACACGGAGGCGTGCGACAATGGGGAATGCGACGAGGGAAGCCGTGGTGAGGAATGCCAAGGCGTGGCTGCTGATCGTAATAATGTGATGGTGGCGGGTAGGTCTGTCGTTGTGGAGACAGATTTCCTGCGATTATCGCCGAGCGACTCGAACTGCGCAGCTACAGTCGTCGCTACTCTGTGTGGGTATCGCCAGCGCTCGCGCAGGCGGTCGCATGACCCGTCGCATCTGTCGCATTGTCTGTCGCACCTGAACAGATTGTCCCTTTCCACGACGACGTCCATTGAGCTGCTGCTGCTGCAAGCAGCACAATCCTGACTGCTGCGGGAATTTACGAAGCCGCTATCTCTCATTCCCCCCAGTGGTGGAAAACAGAACAATGCGCTGCCTCTAATAATTATGTTCAGCTGCTCCTAGAATAAGCTAGAAGGAAGGATATAGTTCTAGTTTCAATTCGCTCTGGCGAGGGCAACGCCATTGTCCTCTCTTCAGTGAAGTGAATCAGGCAAGCTCTGCACTGCACTCCTCGGTCGCGGGAACACCTGCACTACACCATCCACTGCAGCAACACTACCCAACCCAACCCAGCCCAAACCAAAACAACCTCCACACAAGCCTAACTCTCTTGACGCAGAAAACGCCACCGCACCAGTCATGCTCGCCATTCCTCCTCCCGCCACCACACTAGCGCATCTGCTCCGCTGACGCTACGCGCCAACTCTCTTCCGCTTCGTAACGAGTTGCCCTTGTCTGGTTGGCTCTGTACTGTACTGCTGTCATGTGTCGAAGGGCATCTTCCTCCCACCACCCACCCATCCTCCCCAATCGCCAACCCCCCCACCCCCTCCGCGCCCCCCTCCCCCTCTTCTGATTTGCTTTCCGCCACCACGAGCGTACAAAGATGCGGAAAGCAAATAGGAAAAGCGCCGACCACAAAGATGCGAAGTTGGGGGGTGAAATGACGAGAAACAAAACTTGTTCGTTGCGACGCGCTTGCGAAAGTATGTTACCGGAACCGAACAGAGACACCTTCGCAGAAACAGCTACATCGACGTGTCGCAGGCCAGTCAAAGGACCAACTTCAAGGTTATCGATCGATGTTCCAACTCCGACCGGAGTCGTTCTCGAATTTCGACCTTTGCGTACGACTTCTTCTCGTCGCTAATTCGCTAATGAATCCTCCAGAATTTTCGCCAGCTGTCGGCGATGCAGCAAGTCGGTTGGATTCAGTGGGGAGGAAAAACAACTCTGGCGCGAATGACGATTGCATTTCCGTCGGTGGGTCAATCTTGACAGTCTAGGGAGACCATTTCTTTGATTGGCTCGCTGTTCTGACCTAGTCAGAACTGTCAGCGGTCGAAAAAATCTATTTTCTGCAGTACAATTGATGCCTGTTTGAGCCCCTCCCGGTTGCCTTGTGAAGGGGGTGTATAAGCTGTAACGAGCGTTTCGCATAAGTTTCGTCAATTCGCAGCTAGCTAAAAAGGATTCGCAGGTGCTTATAAACAAGATCTGTTACCTTATTTGACTTCAGTCTCTTCTGCTTGACCTCGGTCTGTTCGTTACTATTGGTTGATAACCATGCGACGCGCTTATAACGTGGGAGCAACAGGCTGGGGAAACAACCTCGGGTGCAGCGTTTCCATCCGGCGCAAGGCAAATTCGCGTGCACTGGTTGGGCATCAATTGTATTCCTTTGCGATGGACGCACCTAAGAGGACGAATCTGAGTGCACCCTTGTTACCAAATTGAAACTGTATTTGCTGTTTAATCTCCTCCTTTTGTATACACGCAAAACCATGGTGGAGTCAGTCAGTGACCTTCCTGCCCTTGAGGCTAACGCACGGGCCGTTGCCTGTAAACACCAGTCCGACCGTCTGAACATCAGTTGTGTATGAAAACCATTGTATTTTGCATCCCTTTTTCGTCGTCCACCAAGCACAGGTGGGCGTAGAAAACTTCTCTACAAGCCCTACTTGATCGTAGATGCTTTGATAATCCCACAGGATCACCATTGATAGGTAAAAGGAAAGAGATTCCAGAGCAACTTCACTAATGCGAGGGCCAACAAGAGCAAAACTGGCCTTTTTGTACAACATGGAACTAGCACTTCATTTGGACAGCCAGGTCCTACCAGCCACCTCTCACTTACGAACCTCCAAGAGACCGTCGAACCAGCCCGTAGTAAAACCCTCCTGTAGCACCCGGAATCGCCAATATCCCTTTTTCGCTTATCCTGTCCACATTCCTCGCAGCCTCCTCCCTCAATGCACCAACCATCCGCCCGAAAAATCCCTGCTGTGAATTCCTCTCGGCCATCTCACCGCCACTGGCACTATTACCAGCAAACCCATAGCCTCCAGTGCTGCTCACCCACCCCTCATCTGCGCCAGTGCTGCCACTCCACTCCCCCATCGCCTTCTGCCCCCACAGACCTGCCTCCTCTGCCGTCGTCGCCCTCCGGGGCGACTGGCTGCCACTGCCCCCCTCCCAGCCCCCTTTCGCAGGCCTTGCCTCCATCATCACAGAGTCGCCTGACGTCGCCCTCCTCCTGTCCATCCCAGCACCGCTGGGAGGAGGCTCATAAAGCTCAGACTGCACTAACTCCTCGTGCTGCCCAGGCTGCTGCTGGGGGGAAATGTCCAACTGCATACTCCCCCATCCTGCTGCTGCTGCCACTCCAGGCGAGTGATTAGCGGAGAGGAAAGCGGAATCGCCTCGGTCTGCTGCGAAAGCACGGCCGGGGGCTGAAGAGAGCGGCGATGGAGAGAGTTGATGAAGCGGAGTGCCAAGGGGCTGGGTCCACAGCCCTGGTGATGATGCCACTGACGGCCCAGAGGCGCTAGTACCAGGAGGAGAACCCTCACCCATGTCCACGCTAGCGCTGCTACCAGCAGTGGATAGAGGGGAGCTCAACAGTAGTCCTGCTCCCCCGCCCGAACCTCCCAGCCACGACCCCGCCTTCCCAGAGGCCGTGGCAGCAGCGGCCGCAGCGGGAGAAGCAGGAGAGAAAAGCTCCGGAGACGCAGGCGAGGGCTCGATAATCTCCTCTATCTCAACCATGCTGGGCCGCCGGCTGTGCCGCCCGCTGCGTCTCGACGGCCGGCTGCGTGCCACGTCATCTATCCTTTTCTCTGAACCGCCCTCCTTAGAGCCCTCTGCCGCCCTGGCACTGAGTGCCTCCCATTTGGCACGGGTCGCCGCGACCGTACTACCACTGCTACCACTGTTACCCTCCAGGATGCACCCACCAGTACCTCTTGCTCCTGCTTGTGATTCTGCCGTTGGCGCTGCCACCATGGTCTCCGTCACGGCGGTCGGACTCGACTCGCACTCAGCAGGCCTCAGATGATCGCCAGCAGAACGGCCTGCACCTCTCTCCTCCTTGGTCGCATTGCTAGATTTGTCAAAACCCTTCTCTGATATCCCCTCCCGCTTCCCCAGAGGACTTTCCCTGACTGCTCCCCATCTTCCTCCCCCTCCTGCGTTCCCCATCCCCACATCCAGCGCAGAGCTCCCCTCCCCGCCTTGCGTCCCCACCCCCACCTCCACACTCTCGGGCAGCACGGCCCTTTCCGCCTCGTCTTCCCCGCCAGTGGGAACCAGGGCAGCAGCGGCAGTACCGGCAGCGGGAAGGCTCGTAGCGAGGGCTGCAAGCCCGCATGGCTCGGACACCGCTGCAGTTGGAGGTGCTGGACCGCTGCTAATAGTGCTGCGCGCACTGTTCGCTTCAGTGGGCTCGTTCAGCGAATCCCGTGACTGTGTTTTTGTAGTTGGACACGTTGCATGGAAGTCCAGGCGCAAGTCAAGTCTCTTCCTGGCCGTAGGCTCCCGCGCCTTTCCCGCCTCCCCCACATCTTCCGCCGTCCCCCCTTCCCCCGCCTTCACCACCGCCACCGCCTTCACCGCCTCCACCGCCGCCAGCCACACCCGCTCCCACTCCGCTGCGTTCTCTCCCACTGGTGCCCCAAAGCCCTCTCCACCGAGAGGCTTCCCCTCCCGGTGAGGCGGCTCCGGCACAGCTCCGGTTGTATTGCTACTCACGAGTCCTGAAGGCATTTCTGCTGCTGGTGCCAGTGCTGGTTGTGATGTCTGTGCCTGTGCCTCAGGCCCAGCAAAAACGGCGGCTGCGGCTCTCGCACTTTTTTGGCCCGTTTTCGATTCCTCGTTAGTAGTGATCGTACGAGGTTCCTGTTTATTGCTGTCGACAATCGTTCTCATGCTGCCCTCCCTGCTCTCCCTCGATCGCAGCCACTCAAGAGCAGCCAGGGGGCCGTCTCGCTTCATGCGCGCCTCGAGCGCGTCCAGCTCTTCCCCCAGCGCCAGCACGCGCACGTCCTGCACGCGCGCGTACCCGCGCAGGCGCTCGTGCTCCGCGCGCTGCTTCTCGTAGCGCGCGTGCAGCGCGCGGTAGGACCGGTGCGCCTGCTCCAGCATCGACACCACCGGGCGCATGCGACTGCAGCAAAGAAATAGGGATGGGGGGACGGGAATCTTCGGAAGGGCACTCCCCCGCCGAGGCGGGGCGGAATTGGCGCAGACCTCGACACAAGTTCAGCGGACCCTACGATACAGTGGCGGAAAGGGAAGGGCGGAATGACGATGGCATGAGGTTTGAGGGGAGAGAAACGGGGGAAATAGAGACTCAGGGCGACACGCGCATGCTATTTTTGACGGCGTGTAAGTAGGAAACTAGTGATGATTGCAGCACATGGTGTATACAAGTATGTCTGTTTGGAAATTCTCTGTCTGAAATATATTACTGCAGAAACGAAAAACTCAGATGTGAGTGCAGCCCACCTCTCAATGATCGCATCTCCCTCGCGCCTCAGCGTTTCCTTCAACGCCAGTACCGTCGTCTCCTCACCTCCCGATCTGTTCTCCCCTGATGTCGCGTCGCGTTTAGTAGACTCCAGGCTACCACCACGATTATCGGCCTCTGCAACCGCAGCAGCAGAAATTCTTCCAGGCTGAGGCACTCCAGGCAAGTCTGAGCGGAGCGCATTCTCTAATTCGTTTCCACCATTATCATCCGACCCTACGTCGGAATCATACCCGCTATCCATAATTCCCGAAAAAGAGGGAACGATGTTCCTTGCCTGGGAAAAAAATCCTCCTTGCCTGCGTCCTATTATAACCGAGCCCACTACCCCCTTCGAAAGGAATGCCAACAATCCTCCCCTGGTCTTCCTTCTGCTCGATCTAAACAAGCGCCATGAAAATTCACGGATCCACAGGTGAGACAACTGCTGCGGAATGATCAATTCATTTCGGGTTTCGCAGAGGCCCAGCAAAGGAGGCCGTTGAATTTCGTCCGAGGCGCCCAATGTTGGATCGTGCGAAAAGCACGACCGAGTCGCGATATGTTCACATGCACAGAGGGTCGAGAGTCATTTGAGTACCAAAACAGAGCACGTGGCGTCATGTAAGAGGCTGGCACTGTTTTTGACAGCACTGACTGTACTACAAAATGCATAAACTTCAATATTGAAATTCTACACTTCCATCAACCATGTCATCACTCACAATAACACACTCCCACACATCCATAACTTACTTTCTAAATATGGCACATTACTGTTGGGACAAGCCCTTGGCACAAGCATAAAGCAAAGACAGGCACATAAACAACCCTACACTAATACCACATACACTAAGTACACACACATAACCACAAGTCAGTCATCCTTGGTCGCAAGCAGAGACCCAGACGCCCACTGACGCCACAACCTCTGCTTCCTCTGCTTCCTGCTTTGCTCCGCCCTCTCATCCCGAGGATCAACCCGAGCGCTAGCAGCATCAGCGGCAGCAGCAGTGCTAGCAGCAGCAGATGCAGCAGCAGCAGGGGAGCGGAAGGAGAGCCAGGAGAAGAGGCGGCGGTGGTCGAGAAGCTGCCGCTGCCGCTGCTTTGCTGCTGCTGCCATGCGTGCTATGGCCTGCGTGGCCAGCACCCCCACCTGTTACAGTTGACAGTTACAGTGGCAGATTGATATTGAGGGAAGCACGGTTAGGGTGCAGGCAGAGGAGGAGAAGAATGTGGGGGGGGGGGGGGGGGGGGGGGGGGGGGGGGGGACGAGAGTGGGAGACGAATGGGGGAGGGGAGGAGGGAGAGTAAAGAAAAAGTGGAGAGGGAAGGAGAAGAGGAGGAGAAGACGGGGAGAAGGCAAGGGAAGCAGACTACTGGAGGGCTTGGAAAAAAAGGAGATACTTATGAGAAGGGGTGGGGTGAGTTTGGGGCAAAGAGGGGGAGAAGCAGGGGGGGAAGTGGGCCCAAGAGAGGAACATACCTTGAAGGTCTTAATGGCGTCGACTCGCGAGTGGTCGAGCACCCTCTCGCCCGTGTGCGAGACACTGACAAAGTCGTCGTACTCGCTGCCCCACTGCACCTCCCCGTCATGCACGTAGTAGTCCTGTGCGGGTTGGAAAGAGGTGCAGGGAAGGGAGGCAGGGGGCGAAGATATACAGAGTGCATCAACAAATGTGTGTGACACACTGACAAAGTTGTCGTACTCACTGCCCCACTGCACCTCCCCGTCATGCACGTAGTAGTCCTGTGTGGTGGGGAGGAAGGGGACGAGCGTAGGAATGTGAGGGTGACGCAGGAAGGCAGGCAGCACACAGTGAACCACAGTCCCCAGCCCTGCCTAGCACAGTGACTCCCCCCCCAAACGCCAGCACACGCCAGCTTAGCACGGGCGAGGCGAGGCGAGTGTGGCATGGACGCCCTGATGTTGGTGGTGAGTGAAATAAGAAAACAGGCGCGGCGAGGGTCGAGAGGCGAGGGGCGAGGGTCGAGGGTCCAAGGGAGCAGAAGCAGCGCACCTGGATGTGGAAGTAAGACGGGCTGTATGGACGCCCTCCTCTCAACTGTTGAGGTGGCTCACAAGCAGTCAAGGGTTTGGGGTTCGCAGTGCACGCACCTGGATGTGGAAGACGGGCTGCATGGACGCCCTGTCGGTGCCCGAGACGACAAGGGCGAAGCTGGCATCGCCTGCTTGCAGCGAGGCTGGCGTGTGTCCCCACAGGGGGCTGCTCTCGTCCACTATGTGCCGCACACTCATGCCGTACTGCAGGTATGGCACCTGGTGGGGGGGGAAAGGGAAGAGCGGGGAAGTGGAAAGGGTGAAGGGGGAAGGGGAGGAATGGAAAAGGTGTATTGTGAGTCGGCATAGAACCCACACAAGGGGCTGCTCTCGTCCACTATGTGCCACACACTCATGCCGTACTGCAGGTATGGCACCTGGTGGGTGGGGGGGAAGGGGGAAGGGGGAAGGGGGAACGGGAAGGGGGAAGTGGAAAGAGTGAAGGGGGAAGGGGGAGGGGGAATGGGAAAGGTGTATTGTGAGTCGACATAGGGCCCAGAGAAGGCTGGCGTGTGGCCCCACAGGAGGCTGCTCTCGTCCACTATGTGCCGCACACTCATGCCCCCACCTTGCCCCCACCTTGCCCCACATTCCCCAGCATCCCCTCCCCCTTTCTTCCACGCACCTGTCCCTTGACGACTGGCAGGTCGTGCACGGAGCAGAAGACAGAGCCCGAGGGCAGCATGTGGAAGCAGCGCCCACCTAGCCCCACCTTCCCCCCACTTCGCCCCTAGCCCTTCCCCCCTGCCCCCAAAGGAAAAGAGCCACCCACACCAAGGAGGCATGCACGCACCCACCTGTCCCTTGACGACTGGCAGGTCGTGCACGGAGCAGAAGACAGAGCCCGAGGGCAGCATGTGGAAGCAGCGGAAGGTGAGCGACACCTGTGCATCCACCAGGTCGCAGGGCGCCGGGCCCGTCAGCACAAAGCGCGCTGAGAATACGCTGCAGAGAGGGGGGAGAGGGGTGATGTGCGGGAAGGGGGATCGGAGGAAGAGGAAGAGGAAGGGGGAAGAGGTGGGACCGAGAGGGGATGGCACGGGAGGGGATAGGACACGCGAAGAGACGGGCTGAGGACTGGGGGGTTGAGGGGGCAAGACAGAAGAGGGCAGCATGTGGAAGCAGCGGAAGGTGAGCGACACCTGTGCATCCACCAGGTCGCAGGGCGCCGGGCCCGTCAGCACAAAGCGCGCTGAGAATACGCTGCAGAGAGGGGGGAGAGGGGTGATGTGCGGGAAGGGGGATCGGAGGAAGAGGAAGAGGAAGGGGGAAGAGGTGGGACCGAGAGGGGATGGCACGGGAGGGGATAGGACACGCGAAGAGACGGGCTGAGGACTGGGGGGTTGAGGGGGCAAGACAGAAGAGGGCAGCATGTGGAAGCAGCGGAAGGTGAGCGACACCTGTGCATCCACCAGGTCGCATGGCGCTGGGCCTGTCAGCACAAAGCGCGCCGAGAATACGCTGCAGAGAGGGGGGGAGAGAGGGGTGAAAAGGGGTGAGAGAGGGCGGGAGGGGACGAGGGATGTAGGAGGGACGTGGGGAGAAGGTGGGGGAAAGGGAGGAGGAAAGGGTTGGGGGAATGGAAAGGGATGGCACAGGAGGGGAAGGGACGGGAGAAGAGACAAGAGGGTAGAAGAAGAGACAAGAGGGTAGAAGAAGAGACAAGAGGGTAGAAGAAGAGATGGGTTGAGGAATGCGGAGCGGTTGAGAGGACAAGACGAGTGCTCAGTGCTCTGAAATGAAAGTCTTGGAAGTGTTCTAGTGGTTCACATAGGTTGAGAGGCATGGAGAGGAAAAGAGGAGGATGAGGGGGATATACATATACCAATGAAGGACCATTCAGGAGAGGGTGAGGGGGATGGGGAGGAGGATTGGGAGGAGAATTGGGAGGAGGATGGGGAAGCGGAAAAGGAGGATGGGGATAAAGATGGGGGGGAGGAAGAAGAAGAGGGGTGGGGAGAAGGAGGATGGGGAAGCGGAATAGGAAGAGGATGGGGATAAGGATGGGGAGGGGTACGAAGAAGGGGTGTGGTGAGGAGGAGGAGGATGGGGAAGGCAGGCAGGTACATACCGGACTCGGTCTGGGGGAGCAGCAGCAGCAGCAGCAGAATCAGACGCCTTGGCAGAGGCAGCAGCAGCAGAGGAGGGCAGGGCGAATGCCTGATCGGAGATGAGAGCGGTGCAGGAGCAGCGCACTGGCTGCGACGGCACTGACATGCGCGCAAACACTGCCCGGGGTGGGGGGAAGGCGGGGTGCATTGGGGTGGGGTGGTGGGCGGGTGGGGGTGGGCGGGGTGGATGAGGGAGGAGTTAGAAGGTGATTGGGAGCAAGGACGAGGGGAGGGGGGGGTAAGCAAGAGAGGAAAGGCAAGGCCGTTAGAAGCAAGAGGATGGCTTGTAGGGCGACAAAAGGGGGTTGGGGATATGTGTGGGGTGGGGTGAGGATGGGGGTGGGACAGAAGATTGGGAAGCAAAGGCGAGATTGTGTAACGGACGTGTAATCATCAGGCGATCCAACTCGTGCTCCAAGGCGTGTGTGCGTGTGAGGGTACAAGTGGATGTGCAAGCAAGATTGTGAGGCCGCAGGGGAAGAGAGGGAGGGAGGGGAAAAAGGAGGGAGGGAGGGAGGGAGGGAGGGAGGGAGGGAGGGAGGGAGGGAGGGAGGGAGAGAGGGAGGGAGGGAGGGAGGGAGGGAGGGAGGGAGGGAGGGAGGGCGGGAGTGAGTGCGTTAAAAGTAGGGGGAAGTACCAGCGCCGGAGAGGAAGACGAAGAGGAACTGCGCGAGGAGGGTGTTGAGGTTGGCGAGCACGAGCGTGTAGGGCGAGTGCGCTGACACTGGCGAGCCTCCAAACGTGGTGGACAGCGACACACTGGCGGAGGGTTAGACGAAGAGGGGCGAGAGAGGCGAGAGGGATGAGTGAGAGGGGCGGGGGGCGAGAGAGGCGAGAAAGGCGAGAAGGGTGAGTGAGAGGCAAATCGACGCCTCAAAAGGCCAGGGGTGGTGTGTGTGTGTGTGTGTGTGTGTGTGTGTGTGTGTGTGTGTGTGTGTGTGTGGCAATGGCATGCATACGAGTAGAGGAAGACGTTGAGGATGATGAGGAGAGCGCGCTGCACGGTGGCGAGGCAGAGCACACAGGTGGAGGTAGTGAGGGAGAGCAGTTTCACGAGCACACTGTGCAGCCGAGGGGACAGCGCGTAGAGGAGGGGCGTGTGACGGGGGGAGGAGGAATAAGAGGACGAGGAGGAGGGATGGCAGGTGGTAGATGGGCAGTGATGCTCGTGGCAGTGTGGCTGCTCCTGCTGCTGCTGCTGCTGCTGCTGCTGCTGCTGCTGCTGCTGCTGCTGCTGCTGCTGCTGCTGCTGGTCGTGGTAATGCTGCTGCGGCTGCTGGTGGTGGTAGGGAAGGCTGTGCGTTTCGAGGTCTAGCTGATACGGCTGCTCCTGCAGTTCCGGCTGCTGCTGCTGCTGCTGATGTCGATCGGGACTCGCCTCCAACTGGCTCGCAAATGGTTCGTCCAAGTGAGAATGAGCGAGCGAGTGAGGGTACGGGTGAGAGTGAGAGTGAGAGTGAGTGTGGGAGTGAGTGAGGGGGTGAATGGGCGGCAGGATGCCGTCTTCGAACTGCAGGCCGCCCACGCCGAGCAGGAAGAGCGGCGTGAAGAGCAGGCTGAGGGCGATGGGCGCGGCAAACACTGCCACGAAGAACGCCAGCGGCGGCATCTGCGGGGTGGTGTGTGTGTGGTGTGGAGCGGTGTTAACGATGGGATGATGAGGCGCGGTGAATGAGACAAGAGAAGGGAAGGGAAGGGAAGGGAAGGGAAGGGAAGGGAAGGGAAGGGAAGGGAAGGGAAGGGAAGGGAAGGGAAGGCATGGGTAAGAAGCGTATGGACGTGACGTGACCTTGAGGCAGGTAACACAGACATCGGTTAGCGCACGGGAGAGGCGCGTGTCGTGTCATGCGTGACCCCAATGAGGCAACTCCCAAAAGCGAGTCGAATCATCATAAAAAAAAAAGCCCACCTTGAGGCAGGTGGCGTAGACGTCAGTTAGAACGGAGTAGAGACGCACGCTGTGCATGCACAATACGCAAGAGGCAATTCTGTGTGAACTGCCTAGAGTGAGTCGAGTCGACTCATCGAAAGGCGCCCACCTTGAGGCAGGTGACGTAGACGTCAGTTAGCACGCAGTACAGGCGCGCGTCATGCGTGATTCGAATGCTCTCCACGCTCTTGCGCCCCCGCGGCTTGAACAGCGCTGCTGCTGACATGGCAGGCGGAGCGGGAGGGGGAGGGGACCGCGGGGGAGGCGCAGCAGTGGTAGGAGGGGGAGTCGGGGGCGGGTACCCATCGTCAAACTCCCCTGCCTCCTCTTCCGCCTCTTCCCCCTCTTCCCCCTCTTCCCCCTTTTGCTCCTCCCCCTCCGCCTTAGCTCTTTCCCCTGCTTCTCTCGCTCCTATCCTCTCTCCCTTTCCATCGCCATTGAAAGCAGCAGCAGCACCCTTACCACCACCACCATCACCATTGCCACGAATGGCTTGTCCTAAGTTCTCTCTCACTTTCGCTCGCACTACTCCCCATCCTCTCCCCCTTCCCTGCACGCGCTCCCCATACTCTCGCCCCCATGCCACCTCCTCGCTGGCCCTTACTCCATCCACCATTGAACCATCCTCCTCACCCTCACCATCACCACTCACCATCCACCCATTTCTCCCCTCTCCTTCCTCACCAAGCTTCTCCCAAATTTCTCCCGCAACCGTTCCCCCGCTCTTCCCCCCATCTTCCCCCTCATCCCCCCATTCAGCCACGGTGTGCAGCCCTGTCTCCCCCGCCCCCCCTGCGACGCCACCCGGCATCCTCCCCGTGGCGTCCTCGCTAGGAAAGCCCTCCTGTTCCGCTGAGGCAACACCACCACCATCAATATCCGCATCAGCAGCAGCAGCAGCAGCAGCAGCAGCAGCAACATCGGCGCCAGCATCACCACCACCAGTTGCGGCGGCGGCGGCGGCGGTGGCGGCGACGACGGTGTTGGCGACGCCTGTGAGCGTGTCGTCCACCTGTCCCAGCTCGTCCATCGCCGCTGCCGCGTTGCGCGACGCCATCGCCAGCTGTCGCCCGCACGGACGACAGAAGAGAGGGAAAAAGGGAATGGATGAGGGAAAGGGGGAGGAGGATGGAGGGCGGAGAGAGGAGGAATAGGCGGTGAACCGACGTGTAAAGCAGACGGAGGAATGGCACAAGACATAATGCAGAAGGGATGACTTGATGGATCGATGCGCGAGCATCGTAGCTTAATCATCATCATCGGCGGCAGGAGCACCGCTCAACTAGCCTAGGTCCATTGTCGGCATTAGAGCTTGCTGCAAATCTACCCGCCACTAACTTTAGAGCAGCAGCAGCAGCAGCAGCGCTGAGACCATGACAACATCGTACCCGCGTGGAGAAGGAAACCACATTGCCTAGTCGCCTCCATCTATGGCTCGCGGAAGGCGCGTTCGTGCCACCGTCACGACGACCGCTGCTGTTACCGCTGTTGTTAGCGCTGCTGCTAGAAGCGGTGCTGCCAGGGGCATCGTCCTTGGCGCTGCTTTCGTTGCTGGCGATATCACCACTGCCAGGAACACTGCGGGGAGAAATATCTCCATTCCAGAAGCCCGTATCTCCGGCCGCATTGTCTCGCAAGGCCGCCTGCCCAGTCGCGGTTGAACGTTCGCGAGTCGCTAGTAGCGGCGCCATGATTCCTGAATCGGCCCTGAAATTGCCTGTGTCAATTGTCCAGGCGGAAACGCCCTCAGGTCTCATCGCTGATGGTACTAGCGGTACTTATGGCTTACTGATAGTGCTCTGCGGAAAGCTCTGTGTTGAAATCTGACAGTGCCGCTGGTGGGATTTACAGGGAGAGGACAGTTGCAAAACAATCTGACCAGGACAGCATAAAACAAATAATGTGCTGGCAGTGGCGATAACCTCTGACGATACTTCTTACTGTCCAGCAAAGCTCGACCTGATATTCTAAAGCAACGGAGAGCTGCGTGGGATCTACCTCTCTAGTGGTGAGACCTGACACCTGACTAAGAAAAAAATGTTCTCAATACAGGGCGGGTCCAACTTTGCACACTCCCGTTTTTTTCGTTATTTTACGTCAATGCACTAGTCAAACTTGACTGTACCCCAGTGCGAACTCCAAACATTTCTTGTCCAGTTCCGAGTGCCCAATTCGGACTTTTGACAAGGTACAGTAACGCTGCGGGGTACAGTACCTAGAATGAGGGGTTACCCAATAAAGCGAAGTTGTTCCCACCTGTGACAGAGGGTTGGCGAAAACAAATTCGCGAAACAAGGTGTTACCTTCTGGCGTGTTTGACGCGAAACGAGTTTGACGTGAACCTTCGGACGCGTTCTGTATGTCCGCGGGCACGTTTTTGAAATGTCATCATATATGTACAGTCTCGCGTCTAATGGATTCTGGTACGTTTGTAGTTCTGTTACATGCTGAAATTTGGTAACTAAGCTGAAAATTTAATGTACATGTGCAAAGTTGGACCCGCCCTCAACCTGATTTCTAACAATCTTCCAAAAACTTTCTGAATTTTGAAGTGTGAGGACAAAAAAGTTTACGTAGAGCGCGAACCGTTTCGATCAAATCGCGGAGAGAAATGACGAGGATGGCGAGAAATGACGAGGATGACGAGAAATGACGAGGATGACGAGAAATGACGAGGATATGTCTCCGAATTTCTTCGAGGCTGCAGTTGACGGATTGATGACATCATTTGCCTCCCATTCAGGAATCCGGACCAGATTCTCAGCTTCCTGACCTGACACTCTACCCTAACCGCTTCGACAGGACAAACCTCGACATCAGGTTGCTGGCCAAAATATCACAGTCGCCTGACAAAATGAATACATATCAACAGCTGTGCCCATTTCTTGCAAAATAAACAAGAGGCGACGAAATCGTCTTAGGGTTGCGAAGCTGTTTTGCAAAAACACATATTTTATTTAGTTTAGTACTTATACATAACTTGATGCTTGTAACTTAAATGTTGTTTGTTCTGTATGGGTTTGTAAAATGGTTGAACAGAGTGAACTACACACCTTCCGATTATGGGACAACCTACAAACGATTACGACAGACGTGCTATTTACAGATTATGTAATAATTGTCCTATTCCATTTAAAAAAGACGTTTGTAGGTTCAAAATTGACTCTCTCATGTTTCGAACCTGCAACCTCCTGATTGCTCAAGCATTTTCTACCGTCTGCGCCAAGGCATCTGCAATACGCAACTGTTGATTTTTTTATTAAACATAAAACCTTGCGACGAGATTGAACCAGCCCTAGGGTTTCTACTTTTCCTTTTCTTCTCTCACGTCCCCTCGCTGGTGGAGCTTGGTTGACACCCGCCCCCCAGTCACGATCTAGTACCACGATAAGGTGAGAAACGTTCTAAGCTATCAACTAGGACTAACTTAGATGATTATAAGTTAGACTAGGACTAACGTAAGAAATAAACGCGACGAAATTGACGCTACTTTAGGGTTTGAATGCTCTTTTTCTCCTCCCTCCCTTTCCTCTCGCTGCTGGAGCTTCTCCCAACGTACACCCTCTAGTCACGCTGCTCCTACCTACCACCAACAGGTCAGAACCCTAGGCTATTTAGTAGAAGTAAGTTAGTTGTTAAAAGCTAGACTAACCGTAATCTCGTATCCTAGTCTTAATCGCGTGTTCTTAGGTTCTGAGCTCTTAGGTTAGGTTTCAGCATTTCCTGTAATCTTTAGGCTAAACTAAGCTGAGCATGTGATTGTCTTTTAGTTGTCAACGGCCCATGATATAGTTAGTTAGATCTTGCTGTTATGGCGTGTTTAGAAGCCTAAGCACGTCATATGTGCTGACGTGCACGTCATTTAATCACGTGTGCTGTGTTTGTCTCTTTCCGCTTCCTTAATCGCGTTGTTCACTCTGTTTCTTATGCTTGTACTGTCTTCTCACCGTTCATTCTGTTTCGTTTGGTAATTTTCTGTTTTTCATCTCACCTTATTCGCATTCTTCCTTACGTATTTAATCACTTGTTGTGCTATGTTTGCCTCTTTCCGCTTCCCTAATTTTGTATATCATTTGTACGTTGTTCATTTTGGTTCTTATGCCTGTGCCGTCTTCTATCCGTTCTTTCTGTTTCGTTTATTGGTTTTCTGTTTTCCTTCATGTTCAAAAGTTGTTGCTTTTTAACGCTTTAAAAGGCTCAACAATTTCATGTGTTATTGGGTTAGATTTGAGTTCGATGCATTCCTGTAATTATTGGTGTTGTAACAATTGTACGACAATAATAAAATATTGTATGTGTGTCCATTTTTCTCCCATTATGCCTTGTTATTTCCCATTTGCTTTCCCTCCCTTAACCCAGCTTTGTCTTACCTTCCAGGCAGTCGAGCTCATATGAGAAGTAGACTGATATTGCTTGTGACTTATGGTATAGGATACATGATGTCTTTGTGATTTAGGTCTTTATTTCATTTGCGGTTAATATGTTTTGTCAGTTCGTCTTCGTGCGTGCGCGTATGTCTGAAGGTGTATGATCATGTGTATGCGTTGTGTTGTGTGCGTACCGTATGTGCTTTCATTCATGTTTCCATTGCATTAATAACACATGTCTGTGGGTTTTAAAAATTGGGATCAAACTATCATTTCCGAGACGGTTCTTTGCGCACTCAGTGAGTGTGTCCATTTGAACTGGATTTGATAGAATTGACCCTTTTTTTAGAGCACACAGATTGTGTTGTTTCATGTGGCAGTTGGATGATTCAGGAACTATGCTATTGAGCTCCCCCCCATGCTAGGCAAGGGATGCGGTAGCATAGAGTCTAGGTCAATTAACTGTTACGCATTTCCATCATGCTACCTTATGCATTCATGCTACCACAGTAGCACATGCATTGTAATTATGCATTTTGCATTTACTTCATCTACGCATAACATCATCCGGCATATGCATCACGGAATAAACAGTTACGCATTCACAGTACATCATTTTGGCAACTCATGAAATATAGGTTCAGTCAAAGCAAACTAGGAAATGAGAAGGAATGTGGTTCGGCACGTGGTAAATTGACTTGGCAAATACATAGTAGTCAGTCACTTCACTTAGCTACCGTTCACTAGATTTTTTTCATCCTTTATTGAGTAAAGAGGATGAAAAAAAAAATTGTACATAACGATCGTAATAGGTTGCTTCGCAACCCAAAAAGCAGGTATGTGTAAACGTTATGAACACAAATCCTCAACACAAAGTCTTGGTGCTGCCCAGAACACACTCATAAGTACCCTTTGTACAAGAGAACTTCTATGTGAGCGTGGGTGGACCAAGGATGGAGGCCAGGGTGTTGGGTGAACAGGGGGGTGAGAAGAGATGGTGAATGTGAGGGAAAGGGGAAGAAAAAGGTAGAGGCTTCCGCTGTCAAAATGTTGACCAACCAATGGGTTGGGCGACCAAAAAAGGTAAAGAGCGTTCGACCATTCATAGGATCTGGGGACGCGGCAATCTTGGCGAGGGAGAAGGCAAGTTCCGGCAAATTGAAGGTCAATCCACTGAGATCACGCGAAATGCCTAAATTCTCAGCCAGGCTGGAACAAAAACTGGAGGTGTTGGCACGATGCGTGCTTCTGCCTCACATGTCCTCGCAGTGCAGGTCAAGGGAGGTCCAGAACTCCTCAAAGTCTGTGCTTTCCATGGGAAACACGGACAGCCCATGGGGGGCGGCAGCAGCAGCAGCAGCAGCGGGAGCAGCAGCAACGGGAACAACGGACACAGCACAAGGAGGAGACCCTGCAGCTTCTGCACTACAGACAGCTGCAGCCGCAAGCACGTCAACCGGAGGTTCAGCAGCAGCAGCAGCAGTCACGGCAGGTGCTGCAGGCGACGATGCACGTGCAAGAGTGGCTCCTAATTGGCTACAGCATGGCACCAGTGCCTTTGCTGCTTTGCCATACGGCAGAGGCGGCACTGTTGGAACTGGTGGTGCTGCTACTGCCCGACGCTGCTGCTGCTGCTGCTGCTGCTGCTGTTGCCGCTGCTGATGCTGCTGCTGCATCTCCTGTTGACACTGCTCCAGCAGCCGTCCCAGTTGCATCTGCACACAGCAAAACAGAGCACTCACGAATCAGCAACCTGACAATGACCACACGGAAACAAAGAAGAAAGCCGCACTTTCTTCCACAAGCCACAGGCCTCACAAGCCAGGTTTCAGGAGGCCAGAACGCTGCAAGCGAAGTGCGACCCACCTCTAGTGTAAGCGGCACAGCAGAGGAGATACCCAACGCCTTGCGAGCAGGAGAGGAGCGCCCTGACCAACCGGTCGCCAACGGAGGGTTGACGAGACGAGGGCACCAAGGCAGAGCGGGAGGAGAGGCACGAATGGCGAGGCCTGACAGAGGGGAGAGGCTCGGCGAAGGTGGGAGGCCAGGAAGGCTTGGGAGGCTTGGTAGGCCTTTGAGGGTGGGGAGGCCTGGGAGGGTAACACGTGGATCTGAGTGTGGTTGGTGCGATCTGCTGCACTGAGGCGATCTGTTGCTGAGCGAGGCTGCAGCTCCCGCTGTGATAGAGTGTCCCCATCTCTGGCGCGTGGCATTCACATTCACGGCAACAGCTGCGGGAACAGGAGCGGGGTAAGGGGCAGAAGCAGGAGGGCCAGAGGCGCGTGCAGGTGCAGGAACCGCAGCAGCAAAGCCAGAGCGTGCAGAGGTGGTGTTGCAGGACAGCGGAACGCAGAGGGGACAACACGAACCACCACCACCAACACCACCACCAGCAGCAACCACGGGCGAACCAGGGCAAAGTCGTGCCCCAAACGCATTCCCGGGGCTGCCAGAGGTGCTGGAGCGGGTGCCATTCGGCAGGTTGCCAGGCATAAGCGGCACACGGCAGCTGCCTGCCAGTGGGCTCCCGGAGATGCCACTCCTGGGACGCTTGAACTCACGGTTGCTGCAGGGGGTGTTTCGACAGGGGCTGTGCTTACAGGGGGTGTGCAGAGCTCGTGGCCGTGGTGGTGCTGAAGGGACGGGGGAGAGAGGAAGCAGGAGAGGCAGAGGTGTGTGGGTCGGGTGGGGGGAGTCACACTGGTGGAACCACGAACGGGTTGGAAGGTCAGAACGCGGTGGAGAGTCCACGAAACTCCGCTGCTGCTGCTGGGCGTGCTGCTGGGCGTGCCGTTGTGGCGACATGGTGGTGTGGCTGCTCTGCAAGCCCCCAACGCACCCGAGACTGCACAGCGCCTTCCACAGCTCGCCTCCTCCCGTCCTCGTGCCCTGCAGCCCCTCATATAAGCTCTCCAAACGCTCCGCCGAGCCGCCATTCAAGCGTCCCTTCAAGCCGTCGTTGAATCCATGGCCTGGACACTCGTCCACTCCCGCCTTGCCTTCGCTGCTCCAGGGCGTGCCGCTGCCCGAATTACTGCCCTCTACAGTTGTGCAATTCAAGGGTGATTTACCCTCCGAGACCGTCGCCTTCCCCGTCGTTTCCCCCGTGAGCTTCACGCCGCTCAAGAGTTGTGACATGCTCTCATCCTCCACGTCACGGTCCACTTGAAACACCGTGTCACGCTCCAATGGAAATGCCACGTCACACTCCTCTTGAAACGCCACGTCAGCCATCGTCGGACGCATCCACGACCACTCTTCCAGAATCCGATCTGGCCAGTCCGATCGACGGTCCATGTGAATAGGACTCTGCGCCCTCTCTCCTCCGCATACTGCAACAGCGCATCCGCTCGTTGTGCCAGCCTCCCCGCCCAGTGCAGCTCCGCCACTTGCTTCCACCGCGCGCGGCGCTCCATCGTTGCACCACTCCTCTACCTCCGACTCCGAGTCGGCGGATTGCCGCCACGCCGGCGGGTCTGACATCGCCGCCATCCCCACTGCGTTCCGCGCGCCGCCAACCCCGCGCACCGCTTTCCCCTCCGTAGTAGCCCGCGCACATGTTGGCGGAGATAACGGCATGCGCGCAGCGGCGGGCGCCGATGAGGGGCGGCTCGGGGTCGCGGACACGTTCTCGCTGTCAGCAGAGTTGCAGGAGGGGTCAACGCTCGAGCGCGACGGTTCCGCACCCGACGCCCACTCCGCCACGGCTCTCCCTGACGCACTGTCACCGTCACCGTCACCGTCACCGGCCTCGGCGCCGGTCACCGTCTGCGCCTTTATGTGCAGGCCCGCATTCGCGTCGCCATGTCCCTCTGCAGCGTCCATATCCTGCTGCTGCTGCTGCGGCGGCGGCAGAAGATGTTGCCGCCCTTGTAGAATATGAAAGCCGCCCATCAGGCGCACCAAGGGGCACTTTCCCGCCGCAGCGCCGCGATGCGCGGGAGCGCCGGGAGCGGCCGGCGATCTCGACGGCGCGGTTGCGGAGTCTTTTGTCGTTACCGTCGCTGGCAGGGGCCACAGCAAGGCTATCTGGAGGAGCGGCGCGGCTTGGTGGCAGCGCAACGGCTCCCCCGCGCCAGGTTGTAAGCTTCGCGGTGCCGGCGCTGAAAGCTCGGTGCTGCTTCCTTCCGCTACTGCTGCCCATGTCCGCTTGGCCCGCTTGACGGAATGCCTCGCGTCGTAGTCAGGAGTTGGTGCTGCTCCATTTGCAGTTCCTGCAGTTGCTGCTGCTGCAGGAGTTGTTGGACGAGTCGTGGCGGTGCCGAGTGGGAGGCATAGTGGGTCGCTGCTGGGGTGGTAATGCCCTTGACACATGGTTGATGCTGCAGCTGCACTAACAGCCCGTTACGGGGTACGCAACGAGCTCCGCGCGTGTTGCCTCAGGTGTGATGCTTTCGCGAAAGCGGGTGTGTGGTTCGGCGAGGAGCATTTCACGGATCAGGGGTGGCAATGCGGGATGAAGGGATGGGGGAGAACGCGGCTAATGCGGCAGCACACAACGTAGGTGCGGCCACCTGGGAGAGGAGTGATGGAACAGGGTAGGGAGAGAATGTTGAAAACTGCGGATTGGAGAATGAATGCTATTGCTGTCAAGTGCTCGCAAGCGAAGTGCTGGTAGGGACAGGACGACGGCTAGCCTTTAGCTGCAGTGATGTTGGCTTGAATGCTCTTGTGGACTGTATTTTCACCAAGCAGCAGCAATAGCCTCCACGTGAAACGTGTCTCTATTCCTGGAAGGGTTACGTAGACACGAAGGCTGTGCAATGTGACGGGGTCGAGTGGATCCATAGCTTGGAATTTGTTTGGACATGGGGGAAGTGACAAGAAAACTAGCCGAAGGAACCTTGGGGCAGCCTGAAGTGAACAAAACAGAGAGAGCAAGTGCACTCTGCCCTAGGAATTGGGAGGCAAACTGTACAGCTGGATGAATGATGGATGTTTGGGGAGGATGGCTGGAGTGAAGGAGTTATGGATGAGCCGCTGTTTCTGCCTCACATTCGCGATTCGAACATATTTCTTCTGATCAGCCCTTTCCAATGGTTTTTGGTGGGTTTTCTTTTGTGAATGGAGGTGCTTACACCGAGTCACTGTTTCCATGACTATGTCTACGCCGAATTACACCAAGTCAAGCGACAAGAAAAGGAGAAAAACCAATTCCAATGCCCGCGGTTAGACTACCGAAAAGATACGAGCTGTACATATTCTTGGTCAAGTTTCTGCAGCCTGCCTGACATCTCGCGCCGCATTTCTCCAATTCGGGTCCCAAAATTTGTGGCAAACACAGCGAAAATCCGCAAGAATATCGAAGGCTGCTGAAGGGGTCAGCAAGTCCAGACGAATCAAGTTGATCCTCCAGGGTCGGATTTTCACTACAAACTTGCCACGTAATCGGATAACTCCACGTCACACGAGCATGCTAGCCGTGCTCAGTGGTAGTATCTCGTTCGCGCCAGAACAGACCTGATGGCGGGGGAAAGCAGTGCAACGAACGAATAAAACCATTTGGCAATACGTCTGACGAGATCAGACCACAGCCTCATCTGGCTTGCAGTTTGACGCGCAGGGTGTGGGAACATCCTGAAAACAGGGAAAAGGTCCAGGTCCTCTGCTGGTTGTGTTGGGCCCTGGCAAATTCAGTCATCAAACAAGTGCACCAGGATCAAGAACGAACCCGACGCGGGCGTGCCCCACGAGTTGGTTTTTGGGAAATGATCAAACTGGGGCCGAAGAGTGCCAGAGGGATGATCAAAGTAGGGCCAGAAAATCTCGACCGTAGGATTTCAGCCCCGAGCTTCCCAAGAGGCTAGGCGAACAAGCCGAACCGTGATTTGAAGAGAAATGCTACCGGCACCAAACTTTGTGTCCAACTTCTATAAAAACGGTTACGACCGCTATCTACTACTACGCGCGCATCATGTCCTTCTGGAAGTAAACATTGCCGTAATAATTTCGAGTCCAAAACAACATATTTCACCATGGGTGATACATATCACCACCTGATCGGAAAAAAATATATTACCCATTCGGAAATGGATGCGAATAGGGAGGCATCAACCCTAAACCCAACGAAGGTTCCCGATTTTAGGGTTGATCCATCCCGAAAATGCATCCAGGTTCCCTAGGGGTTCTAGTTTTTTTTGGCTGCCCTAGGAGTTTCTGCCTTTCTAAACGACGCTATTGGGGGGAAGGTGATGAATCAGTAACTATTTCCATGAAAAATAGCGCGCGAGCGAAAATGCTAGTTGTCAACGTACATACGTTAAATAAATGATAACTCTATGCAAATACCTTTTTGCCCGGTGTTTTGGTTAGTTCCGGGCCTCTCGGCCCCTGTTTGATCACCTCTCTGGCACTGTTCGGCCCCTGTATGATCTTTTCCCTTGATTTTTAGCCCATGAATCACACCAGACTGGTGAGTCACGGTTCGAAGCGGTGGAGAAGACAAGAAAACGCTGGAAAATGCACAAAACCGTTCCCCACCGCAGAAGCTGGACCAAAAAGAACTCGTGGGACACGTCCTTAGTACATGGTTTATTTTGGTTGCAGTAAGAAATTTTCTCGACATTCCTTATCGCATCCTGCAACATCGCGTACAGCAGCAGCCGTTGTTCGCCCGTTACTACTAACGGGACTTCGCCGACTTCGCGCGCATTATTTCACCAAACCATGCACCGCTGGCCCGGCCGTGTCGGCCTACGCTTCGGAACTAGCCCAAGACTCGATGCCAGCCTAGCACTAGCTAGCTTGCATGCACCGCGTTACCGTTTGCATGTTTCGCGTTTGCATGTTTCGCTCGTGCCTTTCGTTCACATTCTGTACTCGTTTGACACTTAGTGCAATCATCGCTACCTCGATTTATTGCACCCGTAACACTTGGTATTCAAAGCTTCTTTCTTTTGGACCGCGCATCTCTGTTACAATAGTAAGCACAGTGAGGAGCCATAGCTAGGGTTTAGCTAGCTAGGCAAGAGAGAAATGAACAAAGGAGGGGTTTTACTAGCAGCAGTTGGGATACATATAGCAAACCCTAACAGGGTTGTACTCGCTATAGAGCACCCCACTACAGGCTAGATAATAACATTCTGACACACCCCCATAGCCAAAGTAGGGTGTAATCAGCAGAGCACGCAGTCATAGAGCAGGTTCACAATTGCAAGCAAAGCTAGAGGCTATCACAGAGGGCAAGTGAGGAGGAGGAGAGACTGTGGGGGCGAGAAGATGGGAGGCGACTGCTGAAGCTGCAGACACACAGGAGCTGCTGGCTAAGTGGCTACCGAAGCAAGGGCCCGGACTACAGGAGTAACTGGCTCCGCGGAGATTGTAGCCTCCTGACTGGAGCAACTGATCCACAGGCGACTGGCGACTACCGGAGATTGTAGCCTCCGGACTACTGGCGCTGCTGACGACACGACAATTGCCTCCACTCAACCTCCCCCAGCTGCCCCACGCCCCTATCACACACCCCCTACTGCACCCCTAGCTCCACTCCCACGACACCCCCCTAGCACCACTCCTTCGGCTCCCACACACCCACCCCCCTGAGCGGCAGCTGCAGCAACGGGAGACGGAGGAAGAGGAGTAGTGGAACGGCGCACAGAAACTGCACCCCCATACCCCCCACCCCCAAACCCTAATTCAGGAGAACGGGCAGCTGCAGGGGTGGGGCGCCGTCAGAAGCACGGGGGGCAGCGGGCAGCTCAGGGGCAGAGAGGAACGGGCCGCCCACGGGCCTGGCACAGCCAGACGAACCGCGCGCAGGCGGCCCGAGCCGCGCGCGGGCCTGGCGCAGCCCGTACGGGCCGCGCGCGGGCCTGGCGCAGCCCGTACGGGCCGCGCGCGGGCCTGGCGCAGCCCGTACGGGCCGCGCGCGGGCCGGGCGCAGCCCGTACGGGCCGCGCTCGGGGCTAGCGCAGCCCGCGCTGGCCGGGACGGGCGACCGGGGACGACGGGCTGGTCCCCGTCGCCCGTCGAAGCGCCCCCCTGGGGCGACGCGCGGACCAACGGGGCAGAAAGCCGCCGCGCGCCTCAGGGCGCACGGCGGGCAGAGAACCGCCGCACGCCCCGGGGCGCACGGCGGGCTGAAAACCGCCGCGCGCCTCGGGGCGCACGGCGGGCAGAAAACCGCCGCACGCTCCGAGCGCGCAGCGGGAAGAAAAATCCGTCGCACGCCACGGGGCGTGCAACACACAGACTAGCAGCGGAAGCAATTAGGTGGGCCCACAGGCCAGGAGCGTAAATGCTCTGAAACCATGTTACAATAGTAAGCACAGTGAGGAGCCATAGCTAGGGTTTAGCTAGCTAGGCAAGAGAGAAATGAACAAAGGAGGGGTTTTTGTGAAAATGAGAACGAGAATGGATGAACTATGAATGAAGTGAGTACATATAGGAAACCCTAATTGGGTAGTACCCCCTATGGGATACCCCACTATAGCCTACACAACAGCATAATCTATATATATGTTCTGACACACCCCCATAGGCAAAGTGGGGGAGAACAAGGGGTCACAAGACCAGTCACGCAAAGAACAGCAAGCTCAGGGTGGATCACAAAGTCACCACACAGTCCGAGCACAACGACAAGGCCACAAGGCCAGTTCACATGCAGGAGTGCACACACATATATATATAGAGCTAGACAAGCAAGAGCAGGTATATATATGTGACAGTACAAGCAAGGTCAAGAGGAGAGCAAGTGAGGCAAGACAGGTACAAGACCCAGCTGAGTGCAGAAGCGCTGATGGTCACAAGGCGGAAGTGCCTTGGTGAACACATCAGCAGTGTTGGCCTCAGAGGCCACGTACGCAAGTCGCAACTGACCACGCTGCTGCAGCTCACGAGCAAGAAAGTAACGGAGAGCAATGTGCTTCGTTCTGTGCTCCAAGCGCTGCTCTCGA